ACATTGACATGGCAGTAGTTTTGGGAAACAGAGCATAAAGACATCAATATGTATCAGAAAATGTAATAAAAATTTGGAGTGTTTTTTTGGCCATTTTTTGGAAAAAAACCATGGGCTATAGCTTTGGGTATTTTTCAGAATTTTGGCGTTTTCTTAAAATGGCCGTAACTTGAAAAATTGAAGTCGGAATCAGCTCAAACTTTCTACACAGCATAAGGATATCAATATGTATGAGAAAATGTAATAAAAATTTGGGGTGATTTCGGAGTCATTTTTTGGAAAAAAAACCATGGGCTATAGCCTTGGGTATTTTTTGGGTACTTTTGGTGAATGTGTGTGTGTGTGTTTATTTAATATCTTACAGATCATCAGGACAGTTTTTAGGTTGGGGGAGTCTGTGGCCAGTAGTTAAATAGTTTAACATATTTTCAGGTAGTACATCTTCATAAGGAGTCTTTCCTCTTGTCATTATCTCCCACAGTACAACACCAAATGACCACTAGAATATACAAACAATGAGAGACCATCAGGTACAAGCTATACAGTATATTGGAACATGTACAAGTACAGTATGTTCAAAAATGGCTGCAGTGTATTATCATCAATGAAAAGTGAAACTAGCCACTGGGAACATTTTCTAAATACTGTACCACTTCACTATAAAAAAAAATTTTAATCATTATGTGGTTTGGTTCAAATTTTAGCCATTAACTTGAAAAATAATTATAAATTTTGACTGGTGTGTTTGCAATATAAAGCCACATGTACAATATTAATGACATACATGTACTGTATGGGTATCAAATTTTGAGGGCATAAAATTTTGTATTTTAGTGAAAAGGTCTTATTTTTTAATTTCAAGGGAGTTAAATTTCACATTTTAGCACGTGTACTTCCATCAAGTCATTGATTTTCATGTGCTGCGCATGCGCAGTGAGTATTTCCATTGTATTAATTTTTGTGGTTAAAAAGTCACCCACGAAATCTGCGAAATTAACCACCCCACGAAATTTTATACCCATACGGTACATGTACATTACATGTACATGTAAATTGCTAGTCTGTCTAATCCCTCCTATTTACAAGTGTCAAAAGGGGGAGGGGTTGGTGGAGATAAAGATGTCTAATCTCTTACCACATCAGAAGATGAAGAGTATCTTTTGTCAGACAAAACTTCAGCTGCCATCCACTTGACAGGATAAGCAATGGTCTCATCTCCCCCTCCTCCTAGCTCTCTTCTATTGTATTATAATCTTCTGGATAAAAATCCCAACTTAGTCCCCTGTCACCAATCTTTACATGTAGATTCTCATGAATACTATTAATTATAATTAACTCCACCCACTTCAATTAATACTCTTACTATATAT